CTCAACTTTGGACTTGTTAGCTTCCATGACTGTAAGGAACAAATTTCCTACTTTTAGGTATTTTGTTATAAGCAACAGAAAACAGACTAAGACAACAGGGCAAAAACAATTAAAAAAATATTGAATCCTCCCTAGTGCCAAGAGACCCCCCCCCCACCGCTGTGTCATCACAGCTTATAGCACAGTTACAGCCCCTCTAGCTCCTGGACTTAGGTGATTGTTTTGCCTCAGCCTCCCAAGTAGCTGGGACTACAGGCACCTGCTATAATGCCCAGCTATTCTTTTTGTTGCAGTTTGGCCAAGGCCAGGTGTGAACCTGCCACTCTTAGTATATGGGGCCAGCACCCTACCCACTGAGCCACAGGCGCTGCTCACCTCCCCCCCAATTCCCTTTTGTTAATTCATTTCCTTGAGCAAACTTGTATTTAAAAATCCTGTTTGTCCCTTTGCTATAAATGTAAATCCTTTTAAAAGCCAAGTAAGCTGGGTGGTGCCCATAGCTTAGTTGATAGGATGCCTGCCACATACATGGAGGCTGGCTGGTTTGAAGCCTGCCTGGGCTAGCTAAAACAATGACAACTGCAATAACAAAAAAATAGCCGGGAGTTGTGGCAGGCACCTGTAGTCCCAGCTACTCAGGAGGCTGAGGCAAGAGAATCGCTTAAGCCCAAGAGTTAAGAGGTTGCTGTGAGCTGTGATGCCACAGCAGTCTACCCAGGATGACAGCTTGAGTCTCTGTCTCAAAATGAAAAAAAAGTAAGCTTTGGACAGTTTTATAACCCAAGAATGTCTTTCTTAAAGGCTTTGAAACGAATTCTTTGTGTGGGTTTTTTATTTTTTTATTTTTTAGACAGTCTCACTACCCTCAGTAGATTTTTTTTTTTTTTTAAAGACAGTCTCACTATGTTGCCCTCGTTAAGAGTGCCGTGCCTTCACAGCAACTTCAAACTCTTGGGCTTAAGCGATTCTCTTGTCTCGTGGAGTCACAGTAACCTCAAACCCTTGGGCTTAAGTGATTCTCTTGTCTCAGCCTCCCAAGTAGCTGATACAACAGGCGCCCACCACAAGGCCTGGCTATTTTGTTGTTGCAGTTGTCATTGTTGTTTAGCTGACCTGGGCTGGGTTCAGCCTCAACCAATTCTTTGAAATGCAAACTTGTAGGAGAGAGCCCCAATCTCCCTAACTCTGTGAGTTTGGCTCCACATTGTAACTACCTGCTTATTCTTTTTTCTATACACAAAGGCAATTAGCTAACACAACCACCCCAATTACCAGTGAATTTAGGACGAACTACTTGTAGTAAACGGTGCTGTCAAGTACTCTTTTTTTTTTTTTTTTGAGACAGAGTCTCACTATGTTGCCCTCAG